CTTCTTTACTCTTAAGGATCTACCCTAAAATTCAGCTATTCCTCGTTCATTTATTCCTAAGGATTATCCTAAGGAATTGGCACGAAGTCCATTGTCACCGGGTTTAGGCACTAAGTCTGCATAGTCGCCAGGGTTTATACAACAGGCACTAAGTCAGCATAGTCGCTAGGGTTTAGGTACTAAGTCTGCATAGTCACCAGGGTTTAGGCATCAAGTCTGCATGATCGCCAAGGTTTAGGCACTAAGTCTGCATAGTCGCCAAGGTTTAGAGTACACCGGGTGAACACATCGTTCACAACACCTACAGGTTGCGAGCCTGCTAGTGTTCCACTGGACTGTCTAGAATAGTCTGTGGTTGTCATCCATACTCTGCTAGATGACGGGTCCATCATTTGGGTAAAAGGCTTCTCTTATTGTTCACCTCTCACCCTTATCTCATGGTCTATATCACCTCTCATCTCATCATCCGACTCATATTTCATCTACCCATGTTTTACCCAACATATTTTATAGATATAAAATGCATATACAGTTTAATTCATTTGAAGCATGTATAAAATCGTTCATCCAGCATAGACAGCAAGTATTCAGATAATATGCACACATAGCACGTAATTTATATAAAATACTTCGTATCTATGTGTAAGATGAAAGTAACTATACACTCACCTGATAAGGTGGTGACGCGGTTCTCGGACAACACTTCATTTACTTTAAAACAATTTCCTTCGACAAAACCTAGTACCATTACCACTAGAGTTTAGTCTAACGTTTTACCGAGACTAATTAATAGTCTAGCTATTATTACTATTATATAAGCGTTAAATAATACTCTTCACCCACTATGTACAGACAGGGAGCCAGACATGAAACACCGGAGGGCAGGATCATTTTGGCATATAGCACTTCTGAATCCAGCAACCCAAGCGGCCCTCCAAACCAGATTACCCGTACCGCGAGTGGTTAAAAAGATATTACAACGACACTTATATAACCCATAATAATAGCCCAAATAATTACCATAAGGTCCTAATAACGTTACTATAACTAACTAAAAGCTATATTAAAAATAGCGTAGGCGTAGCTCACTTACAGCGGGTTTTCTCGAAAACCGGGCTTCGCTTGGAGCAGCGTTTCCGAACCGAAAGACCCTTTTTCTCGGGACTCCGGGAGCCTCGTGGCTTCCTTCGGGTGCTATGGGTTTACCTAGTCTTAGGGGGGGGGGGTTTGGGGGCTTAGAGAGAGAAAGTAGAGAGAGAAAGAGAGGGTGAAAGGTGTGAGAAATATGAAGGATTCACCCTTTATTTATAGGGGTTTTATCGTAGAGTAGTCTCTAAGCTTCGTCCGTATCTTCCGCGTACGAGCTCCGTTTTCTACGTTCTTTATATCCACGCGTTGGTATTTACAAGTACTACAACTTTCATTTAGACCTCGTTGGCCAATTCTTATTCTATCTCAGATTTACAAATCTGCATCGAATTCGCCGCGCTCGAAGAGTAGAGACTAAGCTTCGTCCATATCTTTCGCATACGAGCTCTGTTTTCGACTGTCTTTTTATCGTTTAACTCCTATTAACAATATCTTCATTTCTCGTTTAGATTATTTTGGCTAAAAATCGACCGATCTAAAATTCGAATTTCCAGGCTGTTTACTGTTATGCTAAATCTTAGAAAAATCATAACTTCCTCATATGAAGTCAGATTTGGACGTTCTTTTTATTTACACTCTCGGTTTAACATATAATACGACTTTCGTTTAGATTGCTAAGGCTAGAAAGTATTTTATCGTAAATTCACTTTTTACGATTTCCGGTGTAGTGTCGATTTTGCCGTAAAGCTTCGACGGGTCATATCTTCTTCGTTATAACTCGGATTTCGGCGTTCTTTATATGTATGGAACCCTTGAGACATATTCTAAAACGTGGTTAAGATTATTTATTCTAAATAATCTTTTTTTGAAAAGTCATTTTCGACACTTATTGCCTCTAAATTGACTAGCCCGGATCTGCGGGCGTTACAAGTTGCGTAGCCAACTCGACGAGTTGAGTCGGGTTTTCCCGCTTTCTGGATTATGAGTGAACTCGACGAGTTGGTGAGATAACTCGACGAGTTGGTTAGGGTTTTTCCCGATCTTCTGGACACTGTATGGACTCGACGGGTTGTTTTGACAACTTGGCGAGTTGACTTGGGTTTTCACGATTTTCTGACTTCAGGAGGAACTCGACAAGTCAGTAGCTGCACTCGAAGAGTTGGGTCAACATGGACTGTTGACTTTGACTTTGACCATGGTTGACCAAGTTTGACTGCTAAGGGTATTTTGGTAATTTGGGATCTTGATGGAATTGGTCCTATGGTGGTTGTAGGTGGTTGAGTTCGTAGCTGTGATTCTGGAGTTTGATCTTTTCAGTTCATTTCGACATTGTGAGGTGAGTTGTCCTCACTATACTAAGGGGTCTAAGGCACCAAGGCCGGCCCATTGGATCTGATATCCTAGTAGTTATTGATATGTTGAGTATGAGATAGTTATGCATACTAGTTTGATATGCTAGTCTGGTAGATCTGTAGGACTACTTGTGATACTGTTTGATTATCTGTATGTGCACTTATCTGTTACATGTCAACATGTTATGTGGGTTAGGTTGAGGTTGCACTGCTCCGTGCGGTGGCCAACAAACCGTGGAGTATGCCAGATATGAGCTGAGGGCCAGGGAGGGCATGCCAGACTCATACTGTGGACTCATATGCATTCCAGATACAAGTTGAGGGCCGGGACGAGCATGCCAGACTCGTACTGAGGGTTGACTATTTATATTCCAGTCCAATGACTGAAGGAGCAAGCCAGACATAGGTTGTGGGCCCGAGGGCAAGCCAGACTTATGATATGGGCTCGGGAGAAAGCCAAATGTGAGCTGAGGGTCGGGAAGGGCAAGTCAGACTCATATTGTGGGCTCAGGGGTAATCCAGTCTATAGAGCTGTGGACCCATTGCATGCTGTTACTGTTACTGCTGTATTGTTATTATGTGAACTGTTTGTTATGTATCGGTATATTGGGGGTAACTCACTAAGCCTTCAAGCTTAAAGTTATGGATTTCGTTTCAGGTACTTCAGATGATCGCGGGAAGGCGAAGGCGTGACGTACACATCCTCACATTTTATGATTCGGATTTCTGGGATTCTCTGATATTGAACTATTTTGAAAACACTTTGTAATAATTAATGGTTTTTGGATGTTTAAAAAAGTTTTAAATTTTTATGAAATTTTGGTATGTTACGATACTCATGGGCTTCATATTCAAGCAACATCTAAAGCTATGAAAAATTTTGTAATTTGTAGATAGTAAATGAAAGCTTGTGTAGTTGTTTTGTATTCGTTTTGTGTGAGAGAAAACACCTTTGAAGAAGAAAAGTGTTGGTGATCCTATGTTGGTATGACACAGTCTAATTAGTGTGTGTGTGTGTGTCTATGTGTGTGTGTGTATATATATATATATATATATATATATATATATATATATATATATATATATATATATGTGTGTGTGTGTGTGTGTGTGTGTGTGTGTGTGTTAGAATCTTCCCACTCTCCATAAGGGTTCTTTTGGGGAGTAAATCATGGACTCCACATATATCTTACATGGTATCAAAGTCAACGTTGTGCACCTATGTGGCTCAACATATCCTTGTTTATCTTTATCGAGCTTCCGACCTAAGGGGAGTATTAGTGTATCCGACATTGGTGTGGCACGGTTCAATAAGTGTATACATGTTGGAGTCTTCTTTCTCTATAAGGTCTCTTTTAGAGAGTAAAACATATATATATATATATATATATATATATATATATATATATATATATATATATAAAGTAATAAAAAAAACTCACACCTTAGGCTACCCCCATTGGAGGGGTTTAAGTGATTAGCTCACCAATTTTTTAAATAAAGAAAATGAAAATTAAATGATTAATGGTGAACTAGGCCACCACCACAACCCCAACTCACACTTGCTCACTCCATTTTTTTTTCTTTTTTTTTTATATGTCTATTTTTTATTGATTTGTAACTTAGACATTAAATATTATCTCAATAAAATTAACAAAAAATACTAAATTTTGAAAAATAAAATCTCTTTAAATAGAATATAATATCGATATATTTCATATTTCATTTTAATTCTTTATTTATAATAAATAGTTGGTTTGGGTTGGATTGCTAATGGGGGTGAAAATTTTGTTGAATTGGATTGTATAAGTGAAAAAAAAAAATTTATTTTTTTATAGAAAATTTGGTTTGGGTTGGGTTACTAATGTTGATAGTCTTTAGTGTTTCATTGCGACACCTTCTAAGTTTTGAGTTGCATAAAAAGAAGTTACACGGCCAAAATTACTACCTACTTTCAAAAGAAAATAAATTGAAAGGATTTGCACTATAACTAAATTGATAGGAAAATGCACTAAAAGGATAAATGCTATCTTAGTAAAATCAAAACTACAAATGTTTTGTTCCGCTCCAACAACCATGCTCTGTTTCCTTTGTTTTTTATAGCTGTGAGACTTTGAGTTTATCTCTAATAGGTTTTCCACTAAAGAAAGGTAAAAGTGAGTTTATTTCTACTAGATTTGCCACTACAGAATGGTAAAAGTTATCTGCCTTCTCATAGATATTTGAGTATATATATACTTACAGAAAATCCTGATAAACTAGGAAGGGATAATATATATATATATATATATATATATATATATATATATATATATATATATATATATATATATATATATATATATATATATATATATATATATATATTCTCTAATTACACAGATTTATACATCTAAATATATTTCACTAATAGTCACATATCAAGAATTGGATATTGAAAGTGTGTGATAGGGGGCGATGCATGTTACAAGGTGGTTGGTATTGGGTTGATATGCATTTCACACGTGTTTGAAGCATTGCATATAATCTTTTTGTTTTCTTTCCGGTTGTACGCTTTCATCAAGTAATAACAGAAGCTAAAAACTCTTCATGGATTCGTTCATTTTTCTTGTCTGCTTGAATTGCAATTTCCTTTACCAATTCAATTTATGTTTTCGCATACACAATAAATTATATGAATAGTCACCGAGTTCCATAATTATAAATATATGCTTAATTTCCTATATATGAACAAAAGGCTGGCAAGAGTTAACATGCACACACGAAAGCCACGTTTTTATTGTATTATTTACACATAAAATAAGGGGGGGGGATATGTAACAAAGAGTAGTCACAATTACAAAGAGAGAAATCATAAACTCGGACAACACTTGTAATCTAGTGCAAACTCACACTCGTGACATTTAAAGATCATTTGGCAGTGTAATTTCTTGCGACAGATTTTACATTCACGATCTGACATAATAGCTTGAGAAAATGAGAGAGGATGTGGGTGAGCATCAGTGTTATAATTCCCCCCAAACTTTATATTCACGTAATAATAAATGCTTCTTTGCTCCCATGTATATGTATTTGTCTCGCACTGAAGTATCAACGGAGCACAAGCAGTATGTATAGATTGAACACAATCATGACAATGATAGAAAGATTCATGAGGATTCAAATCCTCCTCACATATTTCACAAAAGTATTCGCTCTTATGATTCTCAATCGGAAGGTAACTTAGGTGCATAAGATGCTTGTCACACTTGTGCATGATTTTTTCGGATAATAACAAAGCACATTCTGGATGTATATATACATCACAAATGTTGCAGCTGAAGAAAACTGGATCCTTTTGACGATAAACTATAATAGGGAAAGCATAACTGGTCCATCTAAAAGGTAGGAGGCATATATGGCAAGATTTACGATAAAAAGGTTTTCGGACTATTGAAAGAAGGTGATCCGGATGAGATTTATGTGTGATTTCTTTAGGTATAAGCCCACAACCAACATCAACATAGTATTCACATTCGACACAACAATAGGAAAATCCATTGCAAGGTAGATCACAAACATCACAAAGGAACACACCAAAAAAGTGAGGAAGGACGTGTGAATACATGAGATGGAGGGTGTGTTCTGGGTGACCCGGGTGGTTTTCTATTTTTTGGGGAAGTCGAGTACACCACTCATGGAGAGCAAAGTCATTGCAACTCTGGTGAGGGCATTTGTAAAAAGGCATGGTGGACGTGATTGGTCTGAGACATCCATTGCATAGCAACCGGGTCTTTTTCATTGGGTTATGACACTTTAATAACCAAGAAGAATTAATCTTTGAGGAGGAGGTTTGTGTGTGATGAATAAGAATTAGAGGGTGTTGATGACTTATGTGTTGTAAGTTTACCTTATCAATTACGAATGTTCCACTTTCTTTGAAAAACAAGCGTTTTGGTAGGCTATAAGATTCATCAGGGAATGGGAGATGAAGAAGGTGAGGATGGTCAACATCTTCAAAATTTTTAATTGATTTGCCTGAGCCTGATAGATTGGAAATTAATTAATTAGTATATCTCATCAGGGTGAGGTTCAATAAAGAACCATAATTAATCAAGGAACCAAGGAACCAATCTTTTTTTCAACTTTTAGAAGTTATTTTTTATCAAAAAAAAAAAACTAAAAATACAGAAATTTATAACTTTTTATCCTTTTTCCAATGATATCAAATTCGATTTTTTTTTACGTCAAATTCACAATGTGAATCTTTGAAAATTCACAATGTGAATCACGGTGAATCCGGATTCACACGGTGAATCCGAAAAATATTTTTCACATTCACAATGTTAATATATGAATTTAGATATTTTTAGATTTTTTTTTCGATAAAGAATAAGCTCTCGAAATTGAAAAAAAGATTTGGTTCCTTGAAGAACCAATAATTATGGTTCTCTATTGAACTTTTCCCTATCTCATCATTCAATCGCTAAACAGTTAAACAATCATCATATAAAGGTTAAAGGGATTAATTAATTACCAGCAGGCGAGAAGATAGACATGAATGGCTCTCCTCTTGATGTTGCGCAATCCAGATGGGCATAGTACATGCAGACATCACATTTGTAAATCCAAAGATTCTCCGTATCATAAAAACCATTAGTGCCTACTCTGCATCTAGGATGATGTTTGGCTTTTTGATCTTCTTCCGGGAAGGAATATGAAAGGGTGAGTGGATGAATATGATAAAAGGCACCATCTGTTCTCTCTTGGATGAGCAAATATCTTGGTAGCTTAGCACAATCCTTGTGTATGGTGAAGCCAACACAAGTGGTACATTGATAGAACACCCCCTCATGTCTTTTCCCGCAAGCACTACACTCGCACAAAATGTGCTTAGCAATAGCAGACATTAGCAAGTGAGGGTGACTAGGATGATGGATGGTGTTTTTTTCTATTTTCAGGGCACAGCTTACATAAATGAAGAAATCACAAAAGAAACATTGATAATGTACGTCTGAATTCTCATGATGCGTCTGACAAATTCTGCATCTATTTTCGAAACTTTGACCGAAACGACTGCGGGTTAGGATAAGGGGATGTGGGTGTAATGGGTGTTCTAAAGTTTTCGGGAGGTCATAACAGAATTCGTGAACTGAGAAAGTACACATCTCTCCCATACATTTGTAGTAGTACCTATGGAGCAAATTGATTTGTTGTCTACATCTGTGACATAGAGTTCCAATTTCCCCCCAGGCAATCAAAAAAACAACTTCATCATCATCTTCAACGTGTCGATCTGCATACTTTAGATGCATATCAATGAGCTTTAGTTCATGCTCGTGTTCAACTTCCTCCATTATGATATTATGTTTCTCTCTTTATGATATGCTGTTTGGGGACGCCTTATACAGACTATTTAATGCAATGAAAAGAATGTATTTGTCACAAACTCATGAAACTGAGTACGCACGCATGTCTTTTGCTTTTCTGTCATTCATTTCACCTTTTCTAAGCAAGCATCTATGCCACCTTTATCCATTCCAACCGAATCATATGTTCCCTCTCTTTCACTAAAAGGATGTTGGCTTTTAGCTTTTAATAAAAAACTAGAAAAAAAAAAGTTTCTAGCTTTTATGCTAAACAAAAACCTTCAAATCCAAAACTATTTCAAGTAGCTTTTAGTTTTTAACTAATTTAATACATTTAGAAGCTAACAACTACTTTGCCAAACGCTTGCATAAATAAAAGCTTCAACTACCAACTACCATGGCTTTTATGGAATTGCATGTAATGCTTTTATATCAAGAAACTACTTAATTTACGATGTATTCTATGAATACTGGTTGGTAAAAAGTATGATACTCTAATGTGGACAATATATGTTTCTCAAAATCTTCATTATTCTAGATTTGGTTTTATGTTTTGTTCTTTGTGAAGTTTAATAATTAAGGAATAAACACAATTGAAACAAACAAAAGCATAGTATAACTCTTTTCCTTTTTGTTATCTTTAGTACCACCCCTCTAATAAATAAGGAATAAGTCCCAATGTTAAGTTATACTATAAATTTTTATTTTCTTCCATACCTATCACCATGTTAACGACTATTCATGTACAATCAATCACCTTGAAAATTGTTTTTGTATTATAATTGTGTAATTAGTTACAAAATTCAGCTTCAAACAAATAATTTTGTGTGGGAGTGACACTCAATCCACCAGATCAGATTCATTCAATCCACCAATTTAGATTCATTCAGGATGACTACAATACATTGATGGACATGTCATCTCTCGTTTTGCAAAAGACATAAATGCCCCTCACTCCCATCTAGTCTAGTCATTTGTAACAAACGCAGGCTTAGGCATCTTTAGATGTTTCTTATGCTTTTCTTATTTTCTTTTGGGAGTTTAACTAAGGACAATCCCATGAATGTTTATCCTGATCATGAAGAGGAGGAGGAAGAAGTAAGTGAAAATTCTGATGAAAATTCAGAGGAAGTTGAGAGCTAATCTTCAAGTTTCCGAAACAGTTAACCCACAAGTGTATTTAAGTTTTTACTTTAATTTTCATTTCACAGAACCAATATTTCTAATAGTCCATAGTGGATAGAAAATAAAATATATCTATTCAAGTGTTGAAAATAAAATATAGCAACCACCCACATTACCACAAAACCTACTTTTTTTTTCTTTTTATGAAAGAGCGGGTATAGCCATCGATCAGGAGACACAATGTATGATGGTAGTGAGTTTGCTTTAAAAAATCATATAACTGACAGGAGCTATAAATTTTGCCCTGTTTAATAAAATCTTTAAAATACATAATATAAAGTGGATTCTTTCCTATAATGGTTTCTACCAAGGACCGAGGATTTTCTGATCAAATTATCGAATATATCAGCCATCTGATGTTAATCAAGAACAACTAGTAAACCTAACTATAAAACTTCTCTTGCAATGGAATCTGAATTCCTTTTCGTAAGAGATCGCTTCATCTTTCATTGAGAAATATTGTATCCAAGTTCGGTAATATTATACATAAAAGGAAGAAGAATTACTTTAAAAGCAGTGAACTTAGTTCACCAAAGATGGCTTGAGAGACATTTTTAGACTTCAGAGGACGTATATACGCCACCAATTCCGCATTGGGTACCTTCAATCCCTCCATTGGTGTTGCTGTTAGCTGAAACATCAAAACCCTAAACAGAAATCATAAACCCTGGTTTCCATACTTTGACATTACATCGATGATCGAATTGAATGTCTATATTTCAACTCCAAAGGGTGCGGGCTGGCTTAAATAGGTCACGTTTCATTGATTATTCGGGTCATTAACGCCTTTGTTTATTGGGAAAGTTATAATGCTCTGTTTCCTTTGTTCTTGTTGAATCATTTTCAGTAAGGCTGCAGGGAATGGGATGAAGAGGGACTCGGCAAAGGTGAGGTCGGCAAGGAGAGAACACTCCCCCTCACCTCGACATGATGAGGTTTTATGTGGAACTAAGCACAACCTTACCGAGTCTTTACTGTTGACAAGCTTTTTCACTGATGTGGAGGGGGGTTTTGACGCTCGGCAATAATAGAATAATCTATACCTCATATGAATCACTAGAAGTGTGTAGAGATATATACACAGACCTAAAACGAGATGAGACAATAAGCATGATGTGTTTTATCAAATTTTCTTTTATGGTTAGTAGGGGTTTTATAAGGATGATTTTAATAAGAACTAGGGAGGTGTACCCACGCTCCGTGTGGGGCAAAGGGTATGTTTTTATCGGTAAATTTCCAACTTCTTGAAAACGAATACAAATAAAAATAGAAGTAAGTAGTAGGACTTTGAAATTGTACATAAATTCAGGGACACTCAAACAACCCACAAACACACACATCACAGATGCACGTAGATACATAGTAAAAACACACACAACACAGACACATACTGTTTTGACATTTTAAAGTGTTTTCTGTTGTTTTGACCATTTTGCCGTTGCTTGGTGTTTTCCTTAGGTGCTGTCTTTGATGGTCTTAAGTTCTTTCGACTGTAAAATAGAAGTATATTATAAACAATAGATAAATTATGTAGTTGTTATTCTAGATAACTGGACTAAATTAGTCCTAAGAATAAATAAAGATAAGTGGGCTATAATTTTCTGCTACTGTTGTCAAACTTATAAAAAGATACATGTATAACCGGTAAAACCTATAAAAATGCAGTTATTTACCGTTATGAATAGGTTGTGTCCAGCTTTACATAGAGGGGCGGAGTCGGGATTTAAAAATAACGGGGGCTTATATTGTGTCCGAAAAAGGTCTTGAACGATAGTGTAAAAAAAATCTTACATATATAGGAGTCATACTATATTGGCTAATCGGCAGTTAAAAGAGCCATAATGAAACTAATTAAATTAAACCAATTAAACTAAATGGAGGTAAATCCATAACTAAAATATGGGTGAAGTACTGAAGTCTATGAGATTTTAATTGTGGGCCCCAAGTTTACTCATAGTCATAACCCTATTATTTTTCTATATATTAATTGAAATTTTAATAAAGATTGACATGGTTTTGTATCACAGAAAACCTATGTGGGCTTCAAATTATACATACACTTGTATACTATAGTTTGGACTTTTAAAGGAGAATGAGGGGGCAGAGCATCCGGCAGCCCCCTGTTATCTACGCCCATGTTTACATAAGCCTACCTGCAAGGAGAACAATCAAACCCTTAGTTAATCGATGAGTCAACTAGACATTTTAAAGGATAATTTAGCATCAAAATGACTTAATCCTATATCAAACACTTAAAAGATGAACAACATAACCATTATAAATTATTTAAAGAAGTCGAGCTCAATTTCTTCTTATTTTCATTCTCTTTTCTTTTTTGGCCCTTAGTATCGATTCATCCTCTATCATTTGAACTCGACTTGCAAACCGTTTTCCATAATACCCACAAAATGCAAATGTTAGGTTAATATTACTTATATGCCCTTGACCATCAGTAAGAACAAATAAATGATGTTGATTCCACCCACTAACCGACTAAAACATCAACACTTTTATGCTACATTTGTTCGTATACACTAATTTCCTCATTTTGACCTGAAAAACAGAATCCAATTCGCAAATTTAGGAATTAATTTGTCAATTAAAAGGATTCATGGAATATTTTATATAAACTGATAAAAATCACATCAACCAATGCGTCTACACTTCAATTTCAGAAAGTAGTATAATAACAACCTGCTCAAGTCAACCATATTGAAGTAAAACGGAAGACACAAAACCCAAGCAACCCTTTAGGTATCCCTTCCACAACCTAGCCAGCCCACCTGCACTCCTTCCCACTTTACCCCTACCTCCTCTTTAGTCCAACAGCAACAACAATCCATGTCAACCTCAGACGAAATTTTGTATATCCTTTTTTACTGATAATAGTAATAGGTAAGAAACCTACAATTCACAACATGCAATTTTATATCATACATAGCTACTGATCCCTCAAATTTCCCATAGTACCCTTCTCCTTTATTCCAAACATCATCAACATTTCCATCCAGTTTTACCAGATTTTTGTCATTTTTATGCCATCGAGGAGGTACATTATCTCCTTCCTCAGTAAGATATTTCACCTGCAAGATCAGTCATTCTTACTATAATTCATCAATCTTTATTATTGCATATTAGTTAGAAACAGTTTTTTGTACTAAAAGCTGAAAAGTTGTACCAAAATATTGGCACCAAGGCTTGTTCCAACAACATATATATATGGGAATATCAGAGTATTTGTGATATAGATGATTGACCACTTCGCCTACATCATCTGATTTTCTTGTAGTGTAGAAGTAGTCAGAAAAATGAAATGTCCTCAAAGTTGAATAGAAACAATCATAAATAGTATAAAACTAAAAAACAATTATGATAATGTATAATGTTTATAACCAGGTAAAATCTTTTGGGTTATGTAGAAAGTGAAATATCAAACTACACCCTTAGAATTTGATTGTATTTAAGATCACTTACTGAACCTATTGTTCTTTCAAGTTTCCTAATCATAGTTTAAATGCATAAATGTAATTTAAATTATGAGTTATAAATAATGCTACTCTACCGATTTATAACAACATTAAGAACAAATTACAGGTGTAAGCATTTTTCAAATGGATTTACCTCTTCCTTTCAATAATAGAAACTCGTGCAAGAACAAAGTCACAGAACATCTCTAAGATCTCATATGCAAACCATATACTTTGTTCTCGTATAACATGTGCCACCTAAAAGATTCGACCCAAATTTCCTTACATGAAAAGTGAAAATAAAAAAATATTAACAAAAATTAAGAACATACTCATATTTTCTAGCCCAAA